CACCTCCCCTCAGCTTCTTGAACCTCTTGCTTCCAGCCCACCTGCATTCTTCCTTCTCCAAGCCTTTGCATGTGTGGTTTCTCCTGTGGGATCACCCTTCCCTGCTTCTCGCTCTGCACAACTGTTTCCCCTAGCCCACCTTCTTTATTGAATGCCGTTTTATTCTTTCAAAAGTAGTAAATGTCTTCGAGCAGAAAACAAAATGACTATGCAGTTTACATTAAGGAGGGGGATGGAGAGATGGCTCAGCAGTTAAGAACACTGGTTGTTCTTGCAGAAGACCTGGGTTTGAATCTCAGCATCCACATGGCAGCTAACAACTGTCTGTAACTCCAGTCCCAGGGGATCCGACAGCCTCTTCTGTCTTCCACTGGCATTGCACGACACGAGTACACTTACCTACATGCAGGCAATACACACACATAAAATAAAAATAAAAATTTTTTTTCAGTAAAACAAAAATAAGGAGGGACTGGAAAGATGGCCCAGAAGTGAAGTACTCACTGTTGCTCTTGTAGAGTACTGGAATTTGATTCCCAGCACACACACTGGGTGGCTCACAACCAGCTATAACTCCAACTTCAGGAGATCAATACCTTCTTCTGGCCTCCATAGGCACCAGCACTCAAACAGCACACACAGCACACATACTTAAACTAAAATCTTAAAAAAATAAGAGGGAGAGCCGGGCGTGGTGGCGCATGCCTTTAATCCCAGCACTCAGAGGCAGAGGCAGGCAGATTTCTGTGAGTTCAAGGCTAGCCTGGTCTACATAGTGAGTTCCAGGACAGCTGAGGCTACAGGGAGACCCTGTCTCAAAAAGACCAAAAAAAAAAAAAAAAAAAAAGAGGGAGCTGGGCACGGTGTTGTACCCCTTTAATCTCAGCACTCAGCAGTTGCCATAGATAGACCTCTTGTAAATTCCAGGTCAGTCTAGTCTACCTACTAAGTTCCAGGCCAGGCCAGCCAGGGCTACATATACAGTGAAACCCTGTCTTTTTTTTTAAAAAAAAAAAAAGAGGGACTGGAGAGATGGCTCAGTGGTTAAAGGAATGCACTGCTCTTCCAGAGAACCTGAGTTCAGTTACCAGCACCCACATTAGGCAGCTCACAACCACCTATAACTCCAGCTCCAGGGAATCTGACACCTTCTGGTTTCTGTGGGCACCTGCACTCATGTACTCATGTGCACACAGACCATATATATAAATGATAGATGATAGGTAGATTGTGTGTATCTACCTAATTAAAATAAAATCTGGAAAAACAAAAAGTAAGAGTCAGCCCTTTCCGCCATCTTTCTACTCTGCCATAATGCTGTTCATGAATGTCCTGGCAGGTAAAGATCCTTATCAGGCTGTGCTCCAAAGTCATCAACTGGTTTCTAAGATGATGAAACATGGCTACATTGGTAAATTTGAAATCACTGATGATCACAGAGCTAGGAACACTACTGTAAACCTCTGTCAACACAGGGAGATCCTGTCTCAAAAATATGTAATGGCCAGGTGTGGTGGCCCATGCCTTTAATTCCAGCACTTGGGATTAAAAAGGCAGGCAGATCTCTGTGAGTTCAAGGCCAGCCTGGTCTACATAGTGAGTTCCAGGCCAGCTACAGGGAGACCCTGTCTCAAAAATAAAGACCTACAGGGCTACAGGGAGACCCTGTCTCAAAAACAAAGACCAAATAAACAAATATATAAGTAAGTAGGGGGCTGTGAGATAACTCATCAGATAAAGGTGTTTAAACTGCCAAGCCTGATGGTCTGAGTTCAATCCCCAGGACCCACATGGTGGAAAGAGACAAGCGACTCTTGTAAGTTGTCCTCTAACCTCCACATGTGTGCCCTCCCAAATAAAATAAAAATAAAGCTCGGCGACGTGGTGCATGCTGTAATCACAGCACTCAGGGGTCTGAAAGAAGATTGCTGAGAGTTAAGGCCAGCTTGGACTACAGCAGCATCAGCTGGCATCACAGACCATGAAGAGCAAAGATGAAGACACACAGGAGGCAAAATCCTGGGATTCTTTTTCCAGGGTAAAACAAATGTATAAATAAAATTCCTCAAGTGTAGTGGGGAGCTAACTGTGATGGCCCATGAGAAGCACATATGTAATCTAAATATAAAAACAAAAGCGTGAGGACCACTCCTTCCCTTGGCTGCTCCCTAGAAATAACTGCAGTTACCAGTGTATTTCAGACCTTCCTCTGTGAATTTGCAATGTATGTCCACATCTTTAGCGTTTTTATAGCATGAAGTGGATTCATACCATACAGGCTGTCCTCAGTCACTACTCCTTAAAGAGTAGAGTCATCCTGTTACTTGTCCAGATGGTCATAATTTAGTTGCCTGGATTGTATCAGTGACTCCTGGGGGCATTTCCACATTGATTCATAAGCAGACCTTGGCACAGCTATAAGAAGGCTTGGATGAGCCAGACCCTTACATGTGGAATTGCAGTCTCAGGGCATCCATCTCAGGGACCCATCCCATAGGCAAATAGCCTCTGCTTCCCTGGCACCCTGTACCTCAGCTTTCCCTGCACCATCAGCACTGGGCCTGGCAAAGGGCAGGCCTTCTGGAGGGTTAACTGATTGAGTGATCACATTCTCCTTCTCCCCATTCACCTGAGACCCTGCTCCAGCTCAGGCCTCAGCTCTCACAGCTGGACCAGGCCTGCTGCCTCCAGGCCCGCTGTACTGGTCACCCACCAGAGTTAGCCTATGTTAATAGCTATTTTCAGGTCCAAGAGACTCAAGATGGGACAAAAAGTCACTTTCCTACAGGTGCTTCTCGCTCCCTGATGGAGTACATAGGGCTTGAGTAAAAGTTCTGCGGCTTGGCTCTTGACATTTAAGTCCTGGGTCCAGCAAAATCCCATCCCATCCCTGAGCCACAGTGTTTTCCTCTCGTTCTACATGTGTACATGTGTGTGTGTGTGTGTGTGCATGTGCAAATGCTGGGGATTAAATCCAGAGCTCTGTGCATGGCAAGCTGCACTCTACAGTCAAGCCATATACCCAACCATGTAGCTAGTGTTTATAGCAGCTGCTCCGTAGCATCAGGGCCAATAATAAGGGATAGGAGAGCCTAGAGAGATGGTTGAGTCAGGAGAGTACTTGCCTTGTAAGCATGAAGGTCTCAGTTTGGATCCCCTGCACCCACATAAAAGCCAAGTTAGAGGCATCTGTAACTCCAGTCCTGCGGTAGTAGAGACAGGCAGATCTCTGGAACTCACTGGCTAGTCAACCTAGCCAAATTAATGAGCTTCATGTTCAGTGAGAGACCCTGTTTCAAAAAAAATAAGGTGGAAACAGGCTGATGGTTCAGCTGTTAAGAGCACTGGATGCTCTGGCAGAGGACCCAGGTTTGGTTCCCACCACCCACATGGAGGCTAACAACCATCTGTAATTCCAATTCCAGGGGATCTGATGTAGTTCTTCTGACCTCCACAGACACTGCACGACGTGGGTGCACTTACATACATGCAGGCAGTGGTCTCATACACATAAGAAAAATAAAAATAATAAAACCGGGCGTGGTAGCACATGCCCTTAGTCCCAGCACTTGGGAAGCAGAGGCAGACAGAACTCTGTGAGTTCAAGGCCAGTGTGGTCTACATAGTGAGTTCCAGGCAAGCTGAGGCTACAGACCCTGTCTCAAAAAGATGTGGCGCACGCCTTTAGTCCCAGCACTCGGCAGGCAGAGGCAGGCAGATCTCTGTGAGTTCAAGGCCAGCCTGGTCTACGTAGTGAGTTCAGGTCAGCTGGGACTACAGGGAGACCCTGTCTCAAAAAGACAAAAAAATCAATAATAATAATGATAATAATAAAATAAGGTGAAAAGTGACTGAGGAAGGCATCCAACATTGACCTCTGGCCTCCACAGGTACACACAGAGGACCATGAGCAAGGCTGTATAAGGGAATGTACACTAGTTATTGTGGTATCCGAGTGCAGTAGGTAGCTCACACATTATAGCAAAGACCACTATTAATAGTGTGACAAGGAGCTGGAGAGATGGCTCAGCAGTTAAAAACACTAACTGTTCTTGCAGAAGACCCAGGTTTGGATCCCAGCACCCACATGGCGGCTAACAACCGTCAGTAACTCCAGTTCTAGGGGATCTGACAGCCTCTTCTGTCCTCCATGGGCATTGCATGACATGGGTGCACTTACCTACGTGCAGGCCTAACACTCATACACATAAAATAAAAATAATAAATAAAAAAAAGAAAGAAAATAGTGTGACAAGGACCAGGAAGGACTGGGTGGTATAGATGGCCTTAGTGCTGGACCCTTGTGGAGAGGCAGAATTACACACGTGGAGAAGAAAATGTTCCAGATAGAAGGCCCAAAATGAGCCAAAGTTCAATCATGGGAAAATCCATACGGATAAATGCAGAGCTCTGGAGAGACGGCTAAGGCACCCTGGACACCAGAGACAGGTTGGACAGGCAGGGCCTGAGGGAGGAAATTCCCACAACCCTGCTGACTTCAGCCTGGGTGTGGTAAAACTGAGGGACAATAGGAGGAAGTTTTCCCTCAATCCCCCCCCACCACCTGGTCCTTATAAGCTGGCATTCTCTCTCCGGTGGCCCCCAAAAGATTGGCCTACTATGGACCCCACTGTCCTTGTTGCTTCTCCTGTTTGGAGGGCCTGCCTGCCTGAAGACCCAGGATTACCCCAGATGTTCAGGTAGGATGTAGGGTGCACCCCTTATCAATCTATTCCTCATTCCCTCTTCGCTCCAAAGAGCAGGACAAGAGTTTAATGATCCAAGCTTCATATGCAAATATATACAAATAGGATGGAAATACTGCAAAAGCGTGCCAGCTCAGGACGCAAATAGCCTCTTAGCCAGAATCTGGGAAGAAGAAAAAGAACTGCAGCAAGACATGTTCACCCCGTGCCTGTTGGCCCTGTGTTTCCCTGCAGAACCCAGGGAACTGGAAGCCAGCAAAGTGGTCCTTCTGCCCAGTTGTCCAGGAGCCCCAGGGAGCCCAGGGGAGAAAACTGAGGAGCTGGCGGGGAAGACCCTTAGGGTAACCTGTGGAGGCTGGGGACACAGCAATTACTATCTGTGCTAAAAAGCCGTAACAATAGGAACTACCTCCGTGCCAGGCTCCAGATGGGCAGGTGCCCAGTATCCTGAGATGTGCCAGGTACGTGGCACTGTCCCTGTTTTACTGAGGACAGTGAGGCTCAGAAAGGGTCAATTGCTTGTCCCCAATCACAGAGCCAGGACTGGGAGAAGATGGGATTGGGGCATTAAATCCTGGGTTTCTTTTTGGTCCTGAGCATGGAGCAGGACTCAGGACATCACTGCCTTTGGGATTTCAGGACAACCTGGTCCACCAGGGAAGACGGGTCCCAAGGGTGAGCCTGGTAAGTGTGTGGGGTCCGAGTCTCCCCCGATTTTGCCTTATCCCTCTCTGTTACTCAGCAGTGAATTGTGAGTGTCCTCTGGGGTTCAAGGGGTGTGGGAGTTGTGGGGAGAATTTGGAGAAACCCTGGGCCCTGCTCCACTGCTGGTTCATGGTGCCTCCGTTAGGGGCTCAGACCTTGGAATCAAGATCTGCTTCTTCTCTGTGCAGGAGATCCAGCAAGCCTGTTCCCATGCCAGGAGGGTGAGGTGGCCTTCACAGGAGCCGGGAACTTGGAATCAAGCCAGGCTGGGATGTTGAGAAGGCCCCAGGAGTGGGGAAGCCCCGCCTTACAGCCCTCCATAGGATCTCTCTTCAGGAGCTCCAAGAAGACAAGAGGGCCACTGGGTCCCACACCTGTTCTTGTGCCTGGGTAGAAGGGCTTGGGAAGTAACTTGGGGACCTCTCTCAGTCCATCTCCCCTTTTCTAGGCCCCAAGAGCTGTCAGGAACTGCTGAGTTGGGGTGCTACTTTGAGTGGCTGGTACCATTTGTATCTTCCAGAGGGCAGGGTCCTCCCAGTCTTTTGCAACATGGACACTTCTCGGGGTTGCTGGCTGGTGAGTCAAAGAGAAAGCAGGCAAAGCCCAATGGTCACTTCTTCCTCTGGACCCCTAGGGGGAGCCAGAGTCCACTGGAGCTGGGCACACTTTCATAGCCTTCCCGGACAGATATAGAGCTCCTTTAGTGCCTGAAGAAATCCGAGAAGGCTTCCCAGAGAAGGTGTCATTTGAAAGGACCTTAAAAGTGCTGTAGATGTTCTCTAGACATATGAGGTGCAGGAACACTTTCCAAGTAGAAATAAAATTAAACTCAGGGAGGCAGGAGAGTTGAAAGATTAGGGATGTCACAGGTGTGAACTGAGGGTGTGTGTGTGTGTGTGTGTGTGTGTGTGTGTTCAGAGGCAATCAAACATGCACTGAGAACCTCTACAAATGCCAGTTCATGGAGGACATTGCATGACTGATGTGGAGGGCAATGGGGAGCCATGGAAAAGTTTTAGACAGGAGAGAGTCGGTCTTATGTTTTATTTTTATTTTTTTATTTTTTTTCAGTCTTATGTTTTAGAAAGATAAGTCAGATCTGGATTTGGTGGTACATGACTGTAATCCCAGCACTTGGGAAGCTGAGGGAGGCAGATCTTGAGTTAGAGGGCCAGTGTGGGCTACATAGCAAGACCCTGCCTCTAAAACAGGCTGCATGGAGTAGGAGAGATGACTCAGAAGTTAAGAGTATATCCTGCTCTCACAGAAGATCTGAGCTCAGTTCCCAGGCCCCATGTCATCAGGCAGCTCATAATTGCCAGATCCAGAAAATCTGATAGCTCTTCTGGACTCTGGGCACCAGCACTCACACGTGTGTACATACACACAGTTAAAAAGTTTTTTTAAACTTGAAACAAACAAAACCCCCAAACAGGGTGCATCATGGACGATACGCCAAAGTATGTGTGTGGGGTGGCAAGAGTGAAGCAAAGACAGGGGGACACTGCAGGGCAGGCTGAAGACACCAGAAAGTGGGAAGAATGGAATTGGAGGTACCTTATCTGGAGGCTATTTAAAAGTGGGAAGCTCTACAGGGGTGGAGGATTACTTGGCTTGGAGGAGAAAGAAGGCACACAGGAGAAGGCTAGAAGTCCATCTTGGACCTCTAGGGGTAAAGTCTGTGCTTTTTACCATAGCAAAGTAAAGCAGGTTATTTCGAGTCTGGCTTCCAGTAGGACTGAACATCTCCTAAGGACAAGGACAGTGTTTTTATCATTTCGGTATCCCCAGGGGCTTACAAGATTTTTGGCATGGGTTGAATGTCAATAAAAGATAATAAAAGAGGGATTGGGGAGATGGCTCCAAGGTTAAGGGCATTGGCTGCCCTTCTGGAGGACCCAGATTTGTTTCCCAGCACCCATGTCTCAGCTAACAATCATTGGTAACCAGTTCTAGGAGCTCTGGCGCCCTCTTCAACCTCTGCGGGCTTTGCACAACATGGGTGCACTTACATATGTGCAGGCAATACACTCATACACAGAAAATAAAAATAAGTAAAAACTGTAAGCTAATAAAGGGGGCTGGAGAGATGGCTCAGTGGTGAAGAGCACTCTTACAGAAGACCTGGTTTTAATTCCCAGCACCCACATGGCGGCTAACAACAATTCATAACTCTAGTTCCAGGGGATCCAATGCCCCCTTCTGATCTCCTCAGGCATTGCACGACAGGGATGTACTTACACCCACCCGTACAGGCAATACACTCATACACATAAAATAAAAATAATAAAATATTAAAAAAATAAAGTTGGAAGTCAAAAGTAGTGGTGCACCCCTTTAGTCCCAGCACTTGGGAGGCAGAGGCAGGCGGATCTCTGTGAGTTCCAGGCCAGCCTGGTCTACATAGTGAGTTCCAGGCCAGCAGGGGCTACAAGGGGATGCTGTCTCAAGAAGACCCCCCCCAAAAAAAAACCCAGAAAGAAAAAAAAGTTGGGTTTAGTTCACTCACAAGAATCATATTTGATTCACAAGCCCCTAATCCAAAGAGAAGGGAAGTGTCTGTCTACCCCTCATGCCCACCCAGCCTCAGCAACCACTTCCCCTGGTTTTCCCCACACCAGGCAGGCACACAAACCCTCTCTGTTTCTCCAGGTGTTCCAGAGGCGACAGGATGGTTCTGTGAATTTCTTCCGCTCTTAGACCTCCTACAAAGCAGGTTTTGGGAGACAGGAGTCCGAATTCTGGCTGGGGAATGAGAACTTGTACCAACTCACTCTGGAGGGTGAGTTCTCAGCAAGGTGGTGGGGCCTGAAAGGCACACCTGCCAGCCCACATCCCCACCATGCCAGCTTCCTCTTCCTCCCAGGTACCTGGGAATTGCGGGTAGAGCTGGAAGACTTCAATGGCACCCGTACCTCCGAGAATTATGCCACCTTCCGTCTCCTTGGGGAGAAGGACTGCTACCGGCTGGTGCTGGGCTCATTCTTAGAGGGCACTGCAGGTGGGTAGCCTATACTTGGCCCTGGATCAGTGGAGCAGGGAGGAAGGTCGGGTTCTTTCTCAGCATTGGCACTGAATTCATGAATGAGCCACGGTAGCTTTTTTCCCTCTGTGGGCCTCAGTTTCCTCATCTGAGAAATGGTCATCTTGAGACAGGATGGTTCAGGAGGGAAAGGACTAAGCTCTGGAGAAGGTGAACATTATTAGAATGTAGCTCTGCTCCTTACTATGGAACTCCTTCCCAGTCAAAGCCTCAGTTTCCTCTTGTACAAATGGGTGGGACAGACACTGTTATCAGCATTCTCTGCTTCAGGAGAGGAACCAGAGGCTTCTTTCAGAGAAGGTGGAAGACATCTGAAAGGAGGAAGTGGTTATGGGGAGGTGCTTTGGGGGATCCACCTTTCCTGCCCAGGCACCCAAGAGGTTCCTCCCAGCTCTCCCTGGCACAGAGTTGCTCAGGCTGCTAACTGGGGTTAAGAGTAGACAGAGGAAAGAGAGGGAGGCCAGGACCTCTTCAGGCAAAGCTGATGGCTTAGAACAAGATAGCTCTGAGTTTAAGTCCCACTGCCACTGGGACTGGCTGAATGACAACATCAAAACCTGGCTCCTTGGTGCTGCTGGGGTCTCAAGGGACCTGATAACACCCTTTTCACCACACTGCCTTGGGGTAACATCTCCAAGGGTGCCAGGCATAGTGTAGGGTGCCAAGGTGCCTTCCGCTCTTGCCTTCGGGGACTCCCTAGGCTCCCACAGGGGTCAGCCCTTTTCTACCCAGGACGCAGACCACGATTCAAGCAGCGACAACTGAGCTGTGACCGTCCACGGTGCCTGGTGGTACCATTCCTGCTATCAAGCCAATTTCAATGGGCGATATGCTGCATCTGAGGCCACTGCCCATAAGTATGGCATTGACTGGGCCTCGGGCAGAGGTGTGGGTCGCCCCTACCGCAAGGTTCGAATGATGCTGCATTAGGGTACCCTGGCTATCAGAGCCCTTATCACTCCGTACAGCTTCCGGCCCCTCCCTCAGTCACCTCCTCCGTCACCTCCTCCGTGTCAACTGCCTCTGTTTCCTGGTCCACATTTAAAAATAAACCATTGTAACCCTTTTCTGGCTCTTCAGGACTTTTTGTCACTGGGAAAACCCTAGAGAGCAGACTGGGGACATAAATTTTTTCAGCTCCGTTTGAGGAAGAACTTCTATCTAATCAGGAGGTGGACGGGACAGCCTCCTCAGGAAATGAGGTCTCTCTCTGGAGGTGCAAGACAAGGCCAGAGGGGCATCCAGCAGAGGTTGGAGGAGACTCCAGCATCCACTGACTGTTCTCCTGGACCCTTAGGGTCCTATAAATGATGGTTTATGGTGGGAATTGAACCACTTTCTCACCCTCCCTGTGGTTCCTGTTTGTTTTGTGTCAGTTGTGTTTTCTATCCTAACCTAGGTTATGGGCCAAATTCTCCCTCTCTATCCCATTGGGAGCTGTTTTGAACTCCTGGTCAAACCGAGGAAGGTTTATTTTTCTTCCATGAGGCAATAAGGCTGTGACACAGCAGCTCCAGAACTAGCCACCATTTATTGAACTGTTTATTCTTCCAAACCTCACCATATTAAACAATGGCAGAAATATAGCTGAATCTGACTGATGGTCCTAGGTTTAGATCCAATTCTCACATAGCTGACTGACCTCAAACTCCCTAAGTCCCCAGTTCCCAATTTCAGGATCCACTAAGGTTTACACCAGCTTATTGCCTTAGTCACTAATTCACACTAGAAAATTAGAGATTCTTGGGGGGGGATTTGAAGCTGGGATGCTCTTGCCCCAAAAGGTTTCTGGGTTCCCTTCAAAGGGTAGATAGGAAGTTCACAGTGAAAAAGTTTCTCAGGCCCCACAGTCCTGCTCCCTGTAGAAATCTGAGGTAGCTTCTGTTAAGAGTTCTAGGGGCTGGAGAAATGGCTCAGCGGTTAAGAGCCCTGACTGCTCTTGCAGAAGACTGGGGATGGATTCCCAGCACCCACAAGATGGCTAACAACTGTCCATAACTCCAGTTTCAGGGGATCTGACACCTTCTTCTGACCTCGGTGGGTATTGCACGACACTCGGGTTCACTTACATACATACAGGCAATACACTCACACACATAAAATAAAAATAATAAAATGCTTTTTTTTATCCCCTCCCTGCTCCAGCACGTAGGATTCTGGGCAGCTACTATTTTTAGTGTTCTGCTCCTGAGATCCATTCATTCAACAGATCCCTGCAAGGCCCCCTGGTTCCCTTGCCGTGGCCGGGGCACACCACTCAGAGCCCCGAGACCAGCGGTCCACAGTGTTTGGCTTGCAAAGGGGCACAGGCTGTTCCGGAAGTGGACAGTGTCAGAGGTTCTGGCGGGAGAGGAAAGAGGGAGAGGCCGAGTCCCCAGCCGCTGGGGAGCGGCACTGCCCCAGGGCAGAGGGTGGAGCTTTCCCAGTCGGGAAAGGGCTGGACCCAATCTCCATGTGAGGGCCAGGCAGAGTGACGCCAGGCGCTCCCCTGAGAAGTTGGGGTGTCCTACCCTGCCTGGGTCGGATTCCCAGGATTCCAGTGATCCTGAGCCCAGGATTGCAGGGTGCCCCCCTATTCCTAGAACCCAATCCGGCTCTGCAGATCCTCAGGACCTCGAAAGTTTGCGCTAAGAGTTCTCTCTGGACTTCAGATTTACGGAACAAGATCCCCAGATCCCGGAGGAGATCCTTGGATCCCGGCTGCATCCACCGCCCCAGACTTGTGCCCGGCCCCGGGTTTCTCGCGCCCGGCGCCCCGCTCCTGAGCGCCCTCGCATGGCGGGGCCGTGCCCCGGGGCCGGAACTTTGGAACGCGCGGGCAGCTGCTGGCAGGACCCGCTGGCCGAGGCGTTGAGCCGGGGACGACCGCTCGCGGCGGCTGCAGGCCGGGGCTGTGCGCGGAGTCGGCCGCTCAGCGTGGTCTACGTACTGACCCGGGAGCCTCGGCCCGGGGTGGAGCCCGGGGCTGGAAGAGAGGCCGAGCCGCTGCCCCTGCGCTGCCTGCGGGAGGCCTGCGCGCAGCTCCCCAGCACGCGGCCGCCCCCGCAGCTGTGCAGCCTGCCTTTCGGGACGCTGGCGCTGGGCGACACCACCGCCCTCGACTCCTTTTACAACGCGGGTGAGAGCATGGCGGGCGGGGGCTTGAGTGGTGGGCGGGGAAAGGGGCGGGGCTAGGCGACCCCGGGGAGGGGCCGAGTTGGACACCAGGTCCGGGGGCCTAAGGTGAGCTAAAGCTCTGGGGCGTGAGGCTGGGCCCTGACAGCCGTAGGATTGAGGGGATCTGGACGTGACCCTGGTCGAGACTGGATATAGGGATCCAGGCCCGGCTTCGGGGTGTAGGGTGAAAGCTTGAGCACTCTTCAGTCAGGACCGTGCCTAGCGAGGGGCGGGGCTGATGCCCTCTGGGGGCGTGGCTGAGGGAGGCGTAGGGCTGTGGTTTTCTGAGTGGGCTGCAGAACTCAGTTTCAGAATGATCTCACGCGGAATCTCGAGGGCGAATCCCGAGAGCGGAGCTTGCACTAGGGAAAGGGACCGTCTCTGCAGCCTTGGGGTTGAGAGGTCCGACCGTGACTACATCTAAGGATCGGCCTCGAGAGGCGGGAAGGGAAGCGCTGGCGACCCATCCCGACTGGATTTTGGGAGAGGATGCTTAGCTTTGGAGATTTAGCTGCCAAGAGAGAATGGGCGGGGCAGGGGAGGGTCTGGGGGTGGGACCCGGAGGCCCGGGCGGGGCCAGAAGTTGACTATTCTCCCGCGTGTGGGGCCCCTCCTTCTCACCGACTCGGATACTCCTCCCCTCATCTCTGTTCCTCCAAGAATCCTGGAATGTCCGAGAAATTGCAGTTTATTTACGTAGTGGCTCACGCCTGTCTCAAAAAAAAAAAAAAAAAAAAGCTGACAAGACCAGGACAAAGAAAAATAGACATCAACAAAAAAAAATTTCACCCTGGTTGTCTCACAGGTTC